CAAGATGATGATTTCTATAGAATGTCATTCTCTCACATCTCTCTGATAAACACCATAGTCGTTGGCATTCACGATAGTTCTTATGAGGGAGTTCAGAAAACACTTCAACGCGTTCGTAAGGATTTTTACTGGGAAGGGTTGCGATTTTTCATCCATAAGTACGTCACCTCCTGCTCTATTTGTCAGTAGAACAAGGCTACCTACTAGAGTCCCATTGGATTACTACAACTCGTCCTTGCCGGATCATATTTGGACTGACCTGTCCATGGACTTCATCGTGAGCCTCCCTAAATCATAAGGTAAATCAGTTCTTTTGGTCATCGTTGATCATTTCTCAAAGTATGACCATTTTCTCCCAATTGCCCATCCTTTCACTACCACCACCGTCGCACAAGTATTTTTTGAGCATATAGTTTGTTTTCATGGGTTGCTTGCATCTATTGTTTCTTATTGTGATATTGTGTTCACTACTTATTTTTTGGAAAGAGTTGTTTCGCCTTTGTGGAACAAAGCTGGGTTTCTCCTTGACTTATCATCCCTAGTCTGATGAACAAACGGAGGTACTCAACTACACCATTAAGATGTACTTACGCTGTTTTGCATGTGACAAACCCAAAACTTGGCCGCAGTGGGTTCATTGGGTATTGTTATAACACATCGTTTCACACCACCTTGCAAACATTGTCATTTTAGGTGGTTTAGGGATGACCCCCACCCCCTCTATTGCCCTACACTGCAGGGACAACAAAAGTAGATGTTATTGACCAGGTATTGCAAACTTGCTACAAACTCTTATTCTTCATTTGCCGTCGCTTGCAACAAGCACAACACCGCATGAAGGCCATTTATGATAAAAATCACCGTGAAGTAATTACTTATCGACAGGGCGATCTCGTGTGGTTTCGACTACGTCCTTATCAGCAACAAACTCTTTAGGGTCCAACCATACATAAGTTTGCCCCAAAGTACTATGGTATTTTTGAAGTTGTCAAGTGTATCAGTTTAGTAGCATATCAGCTCGACCTGCCCCCGGAATATCGTATACATAATGTGTTTCATGTCTCATTGCTCAAACCATTCAAAGGTTTCCCTCCAACTACACCAGTCCAGCTTCTCCCTATCACTGATGGTCGTGTCAACTTCCAA